ACATGTATTTACTTTGTATGCTCTGATGGTACATGTATAAATATAATAAAACATATTTGGGGACATTAACTCTCAGTCTCATATGAATCAGAGTGAGACCTCTGTTGCCGTTTTCTTTGGTGTGTGTTGCCTCCGGAGCAGCAGGTGGCGCTGGTGTCGTCAGTTGAACCCCGGAAGTAGCAGCGGTGACTTCGGTGTAAACAAGTTTCTGTGGATTCAATCTGGACCGAAGCAGAAGATGGAGACGTCCGGCAGAAGAACCGTGGACAGGATCCACTCCGCGGTGCGTTGTTCTCTCTGTTTAATGTCGCTGTCTGGTCAGTGGTGTTAAACTAGCCGCTAACGGCCACCTAGCAACCAGTTAGCATCCAGCCACTGCGCGTTAGTTGTGTTTGTTACACTCGCCGCTGACGGTTAGCTGCTAGCTAAACTAGTTGTTAACGGCCAGGTAGAAACCAGTTAGCATCCTGTTACTGCCTTTTAGTTCAGCCAGGTGCTAACCAGTGAGCATCACGGCCATGCAGTTTTCGGACTCTTTAGTGACAACGTGATTTGTGTCGTTTGCACCTGAACTGTGACGTGACGACACTCTGATTGTAATCTGATTACCTGAACGGCATCAGGTGTGAACAGGTACTACATGGACCTCTTCTCGTCTCTGTCTCTCAGGTCCTGCTGGCGGTTGTGGTCTTGTCCTGGTCTTATGTCATCTACGCCAGCAGGATTGCAGCTCATTGGCTGCTGGAGAAGCGGACCGCCGTCCTCCGACAAGACTGATGGTGCACTGGACCCTCGCCACGTCAACGTCGCTGATGAGGATCAACCCTGAATTTCTCGCACAAGTTGCAGGGAGAGACGCAGATGAGGACGTCAGCTTGGAGAGACGAGGAGATTCCAGAGCTTTTGGTGATAAGGGCCGACACTGGTGTGGATGTCCGGCCTCCTGCTGCTCTACAGGCTCCACCCCCCGCCTGAATGTTCCGAACATTTCCCTGTTGGTGTGAACGAGTCTGACCCGAACGATCTCCTGCTGCTTCTGCACACGAGAAACACAAACTCCAGAAAACGTCCAGACACCATTTTACAGGGTTCGTGTCTGAAGACGGCTCATCTTCACCCATCTTTAAAATGTATTTTATCTTTTAAATGTATTTTAAGATGCTTTACTGTCAGTGTCTTTATCTGTTTGGGAGGTTATGTTGTCATTCCTGTTTGTTTGTTTGTTTGTTTGTTTGTTTGTTTGTCAGCAGGATGATCAGATTACCAGTCAACATGGTGGAAGGATGTTTTATGGGTCAGACAAGAACTCATTACACAGTAGATTTTTCCTCTCTGTTTTTGTGAGATAGAAAGTTTTTCAACGTTTTCACTGATTTCTCAGAGAACAATTCATGGATTTGATTAAATTAATCAGACATGTTTAGAGAACTGATATTTATGAGTGTGTGTGTGATTTGGAGCAGCTTGATTGAATTTAAAGACTGTTGAATGAGCTCGACTGAATGTTTTGTCTTATTTCAGCTCATCAGATTTTTGTGACCTGCACTGAACTGATGTTGACACCACAGAACTTTACAAGCTAATCGTTCGTGCTATGCTAACCATCCTCTGTGTGTATCTTCGATCTGAACATCAAGCTCCTGACGAGACAGAAATGTTTCCTGTTCTTAAATGAATTAGAAATGTATTAAACAGGAGGAGTACTTAATGTTACTTAATATTATGTCCTATTTTTGTTTATAATTCTTATTCATATTTAACATTCAGTTTTTTATCAGTTAGAAAAGCTTCAGTTTCATCCAGTGTGATTTAAATCAGTGTTTCCAGTCATGAAGGTGGTGATGATCAGAAACACATCAGCTCATTGTAACTGTTTGTGTGTGTGTGTTTGTCTGATGTATTCGTTAATTAAAGCCTCTGACACACACACACACATTTTATAACGATGTGTTTGATGTGTGTGTCCTCAGATATGTAAATGCACGCTGCAGAATGGATGATGAGAGAGTGGGCGAGTGCGCTAAAGCTTGAATGAGAGAGGTGAGAGAGAGAGAGAAGAGAGGCTCTTGAGGTGAGTACTCATTCTATTACCACAAACACTTCAAACACACACACTCCCTGTTGCCTGTAATTAAAAACCTGCTTATCGTTGCTGCCTCTGCGATCGGGCCCCGACATTTTTCTCAGGCTGGGATACCCGGATAAAAACAGTCTGGTAAAGAGGTTGTGTGAAAATGTTGAATAAAACCAATCTTCTGACTATAATAGTTGTATTTTGAGTCATGGAGATATTTAATGGTGATCACATGTTTTAGAAACTGGCTCCTGACTGAAGTCTCATGGTTTAAGCTGTGGTTGAATATCAAGAGGTTTCTTGTCTGCGTCTGTTTGGTGACAGAAGTTTGTTACGTAGAAAGAACCCTCAAACATCCAGAACGAGTTTATTTGGATGATTTAAGAAGATTCATTCTGATCTCTTTATATGAAGGTGGATGTGTTCAGTTAGTGTTATTACTGAAAAAGGTTTACGTGCTCTAACTTTCAAAAAACACCGCATTCCTCATTCTGTCCGTTGCTGCAGCTCCTCTTTCCGTTCTCTGTCTTAAACACTTGCCGCAGCACGTGCAGGAGATGTCGGCCTTTACCAGGCTTTGTTAGGGGGCGTGCTCGAACATTGATTTAGAACAGGTTCCTTTTGAGATCCAGCCCACGTTTTGACAGGTATGACACCTGCACCAGGAGGTGGCGGTAATGCACTAATCAGTCTCACTGCTGCCGCTGTTACTCAAAATGGCAGAGAATTTTTTGCGTTAACATCAGTGGTACCAACTTGTTGACCCACGTTTTTGTTGCCTTTTGCAGCTGTGGTCGAGTTAAAACCTCTCAGGCAGATGAGCCCACATAACACACACTGCAGTTCCTTATTAATCATTCATTAATTTCATTATCCTGTTAATAAGTAAAGATTGACGTGAAGTGTTTCAGTTTTATAATCCCCTAAACAATCTCTCAGGTCTCGTCCTCCTCTCGTCCATCTGGTGTCATGTCGGCCATCTTGGCTGCTAACAGATAAGCACCCCCCCCACCCCACTCCATCTCTGTGTTTTCACTTCAACCATCTGTTCAACAATGCGCCATGAATATTTATAAAACACGTCCACGCCAGCAGAGAAGCTATTGAAACCAGTTTTCTGATGATTCCACAGGAGACGATTTTACATTCTATTATATTTGATCCATTGTTGATAATAATAAATCCAAAGTCCCCAAAAAAGAAAAACACTGAGATGAATTTAAGATATTTTATCAATTGAAATGCTCATTAAAACATTAAAAGTCGGAAATAAAACATTTAAAGAATCATTGAATTTACAGTTTGATCAGCGACGTAAAAACAAAACAACGTACAACACACGACTTGTCTACACTTTCAGTTTAACTCAACAAACTCATGAGGAACTGAAGCGATCAGGCCGGACCCAGGAGCAGGTCGTCATTCAGAATCCCCGGGATGGACGAAAACAGCTCCCGCTCTTTTTCCATCTCCATCTCCGTCTCCATGTTGATGTGTTTGGTCGTCTTGGCGTCCTGGCTGATGTCCCTTGAGACCAAAGACGTCTTCTTCCCTTCCAACCAGTACGTTACCATGTCACCTTTCCCCTGGTCGCGACAAGACAGACCCAGAGTATTAGCGAGCAGCTGCCAGCGTCTGACAGAACGGAACGGCAATGGAAGTGGGAGGGGCCTAATGACTCACCTTGACCTGCAACATTCCTCTGCACTGCAGCACGTAGCCGCCGATCTCCTCCAGCAGGTAAAATGCACTGGAGCTGCACTGGATCTTTAAGGCTGCGAAGACACAGACAGTTACTAGCTATTCATTTCAATGTACCTGTTCAGTGCTGTTTGTGTGTTTGTCAGCAGGATTCAACTAAAACTATGGAACAGAGAACGTGGGCGTCTGGGTCATCGTTTACCAAAATCCTAGTTTCTGTTCCCCAGAGTTTTCAAACTAAAACGAGGTCTGCAGCGTTTACACAAGTCTTATATTTAGAGGCTAGAAAACTCTGCCAAGCGTAACCATAGCAGCAGTGAACTGTGTCAGTGTGGACGCTCAGTGGTCCTTCTGGTCGAACTGCAGGACGGCGTATTATGTTAAACACATACCGCAGACACAGGAAAGGTGAATGGAGCTTGAGACATCGACAGTAAAGACAATACCCAGACTGGTGGACTCCATCCTCGACGTTGTGTTGACTGTGTCTCCGAACAGACAGTAACGAGGCATCTTCGTCCCTACAACCCCCGCGACCAGCGGACCTAAAGAGAGGGAGACAGAAATCATTGTTGGGTTCAATATAGATTAAATACTTTATTTGAATTTTTTAAAAAGTTCTCCAACCACTTCTGCGCTTACCGGAGTGAATCCCAGCTCGTATCTGTAGCTGCATGTTGGGTTTGTGAGGGATCCGGAATGTGCGACAGACGCCAACCAGGTCCAGAGCCATGCTGGCGATCTCTGAGGCGTGGAGGATCCCGTTCTCCTGCGGCACGCCTGACACCACCATGTCTATGCAAACACACACATTTTTGTCTGAACCCGGTTCTGACGGGCTCCAGTTGGGTATCAACCCTCTAACAGTCACCTAACATTGGTGAGTCCATCAAACTGTGACCGTGAAAGTGTTTGTCTATCTTTGTTAGGACCAGTTTGAGGTTGACACCTCGGGACTGAGGGTGTTTCCCAGGGTCAAATCCCCACAATGCAGTTTGATGTTAGGATAAGCAGCTAGCGCCTACGTTATGTCACTGAGTGTCCACATAAAGAAACAGGTTTAAGGTCGGCTGTTGTCACTCACAGGCGTCGCCGATGGTTTCCACCTTGTAGACGTCGTAGTTGTCGATTATGTCGTCAAATGTCGTGTAGAGTTTGTTGAGGAAATCCACGACTTGGTAAGGAGTGCTGCTGCTGGAGAGCTGCGTGAAGCCCACGATATCACTGCACACACAAGAAAAAGAGTCGCCACTCAGTAAAAGTACCAATAGCACAGTGTAAAAATACCTTCACCTAGGCTGCTGCCCTGCTGCGAACACAACAAGAGAAAGTCGTGCATTTAAAACCTACTTAAAGTTTCAGTGTTTTTAACTCATCCGTTTCTCTTGTTGTCAAAACCAGGACACATAAAAAACGTCTTGTCAGATATTTAGTTTAATATACAGCGCACGCTCCAGGGACTAATTACTTAAATATGTCTCATTTGAAATTTGCACATCTTCTGTCTTTACCTAAAGAAGACGGTGGCGCTGACGTAACTCTGAGCCTGCAACGGTTTCCCGTGACGCAGATCATCAGCTACTTGCTTCGGAAGCATACCTGCAACAAAAAACATGCAAATACTTTTATTTTAATCTGGTCAACTTTCATTTAATAAGCGAACATTTTACAGGAGAGATTCTGGCCGAATGGGAACAGGGAGTAAAGTTTACATCCAAATTTAGTCCAGATTTTAACTGAACATTCAGAAAAAAGGTGGTATTTTATTAGGGGTTTCCAGTACTTTTACATTTACATGAACTAATTCACAAATTATATCCATGAAAACATCATCAGCACAGAAACTCTGCTGCTGAAATGTTCCAGTATTGTTTGTAAAAAACAGAAACAAGTAAAAACTGTCGTACTGTAAAGCAGCCGGTCAGTTTTCTGTTTCTCGTGCGTCAGATCTTGAGTTCGCTCGGCCACCAGCACCTCCAGATGTTTACTGTATTTCTCCATCTGAAACAAACCGGGTGTTACTTTCTAATGTGAAAATAATTTTTGATATTATCTCATAAAAAGCTCATCTATAATAGAATATAACACATGTATCTCATAACGCAAGATATATTTAAAAAAGATAAATAATTTAATCACTAATTATATCCAGCTGAAGTATAATTACACATATTAGTGATTCTGGATTATAAATAATGTGTCGTCTGCTGTTACCAGGGTCATCATCATGTCCACTGGGCTGACTTTGACCGGGTTGATTCGGTGAACAAACTTCCTGATTTGTTCGAAGGTGGGTCGGTGGGCGGGGTTATGAGAGCGACATCGCCGGATCAGCTACGGACGCAAAAGGGACAAAAAGGCAGCGGAGAAGGTGAGAGGGCGACTGTGAACGTGTTTTCTGAAGAGACCAACAAAAGTAACATTATGTATAAATTCAAAATGTATTTACGATGTTTACGGCTTTCACATCAAATGAAAACTACCTCAACATTTAGCCATAGCTCATAATTAGCTAATATATATCTAATGCTTCGCTCGCTAACAGCTTAGCATACAAACACATGATAAAATTAGCGTTATATATAATTGTATTCAAGATGGAGTAATTCAAGCTCTATTTGTACAACACATTTCATATATGTTCATTATGTCAACATTAAAACTATTAGACTGATTTAAAGATAAAACTTGGTACCTCCACATAGTCGGCAGGACACGGGCAGGTGTTGTCGGCTTTACTGGAGATCAGTTCAGGTAGAGGAGGACACCAGGCACACTCCAGGTTAGACTCCTCCACCTGGAAAGCATTTCATTATTCAACGTTTATTAGTAATGTCTCTTTTCTGAATTGAGAAAAAAAAGTGACTTACGGGGACAGGTTCACTGCGAGTGGCGATCTCCAGCAGGATGATGGAATAACTGGGAAGAAATACAGATGATACAGAGTGTGACTTTTAATGCACATGTGTTTGTGTTTGTAAGTTATGTATCAGAGGAGAATTGTTTCTTTTTGAACTATATATATATTAATTATAGAAATATTAACTTCTACACTGTCTGTAGTCCTGTAAAGTGACAAAAACCAGAATAAGTGTGATACCTAAACACGTCTCCGGTCAGCGTCGGCTCCATGTTGGAGTTTTGAAACTCGGGCGGCATGTACACCTCCAACAGTCTCTGGTGATAGGTGGAAAGAGGCTCCGCCCCATCATCCCGGCGATACATTCTCAGTCCGTAGTCTGGCGTGACGGAACACGGTGTTAATCAAAATCAAAAAATAAATCAGAACATAAAGTTCAGTAAGGAAAGTAAAACTCTCGTTCTCTAGAAAAACATTCTAACTTTCTCTAAAATTATCTGAATTCCTATAATATATATTTATATTCCAGTAATTTCTTATCTCCTTGTTTGAGTAAACACAGAAATTATCAGACTTTTATCATAAAAATCACAGTAAACTGTAGATTAAATACATCATCATATATACGAC